TTCCACTTTGTTATAATACCAGTAACAGGTGACCGCGGAATATTTAGTAGCCAGGAAATTTCACAGAACACCTGAATCCAATGATTGGGAGGGGTGTCCCAATACTTTTGGCAATATAGTGTATGTGCATGCAGCAGGATGTGTCTTGGCGTGTGCTGCTCCATGCACTCATACCATAGACATGTTTTTTTGGCATATTTTGTGTATTTTTGGTGTATTAGTTATGCAAAGCGAGAGCAAAATCCGTAATGCAGCTTTGCCATGGTGCAGATACACGGAGAATGCAGAGCAATGCATCATGTTTGTATTTTTTTACTTCTAGTATTCCCTTCACTGGATCTGGTTGATGAACACAAAGGAACCGAACTGCTGCTCATCCTATTTTTTTTTTCTTCTCTTAAAGGGCGCTAAAGCTGCAATGCATAAAAGAGAACTAGCCACACAGGAACGGGCTCTCTACTTGAAATGCATTTCAATGCAGTAAAACACATGTGCACGACTGCAGGAAAACAGAGCAGGAGCTGACATAGCGCCAGGGGAATGCATGAGCACTGACTTCTGTATCCTTTTTTTGTTACTATTTATTTTGTAACCATATATATATATTTTATATTATATTTCTATCTCTGCATGAGCACCGAGGGCTGATCCTTCTTCTCTGAGTTGTATCCTATTTATATGACTTGTAGCTCTTTTATTTAGTAACTATGTATCATTTTTTTAATACACTATATTACGGTAAAGCATCTCTGTCTGAGTCCTGCGGGTTGTGTTTTCTGCTGATGTTCAGGTTTTCTCATGATAAATGAAACATATTTGAGGGGAATTTATCAAAACTGGAGCAGACAGAATCTGGAGCAGATGTGCACGGCAACCAATCAGCTTCTCTCTTCAGTTTCAAAGCTAAACTGAACAAAATGAAGAAAGAAGCTGATTGGTTGCTGTGCACAGCTGCTCCAGTTTTGATAAATTCCCCTCATTATGGTTTTTTTAAAATATATTTTCTTCACTTGTTAATTATATCCAATACTAGAAGTGAATGAGGGGAATGTATCAAACTGGAGCAGATGTGCACGGCAACCAATCAGCTTCTCTCTTTCATTTTCAAAGCTTAACTGAACCAACTGAAGAGAGAAGCTGATTGGTTGCCATGCGCGGCTGCTCCAGATTTTGTCTGCTCCGGCTTTGATAAATTGCCCTCACTGTGTTTCATTTCCTATTTACTACATAATATTGGCCGTAGGCAAGCTCAGAAGCAAAACAGCAGAAAGCAGCTGATCAGCGGCCGGCCCCAGCCAATATAACACCAGCACATTACACACATGAATGTGAATGACCCAGCAAAAGACCCAACCCCCTTCTCCATCCTCCCGCACTCTGTTATCATAGACAGGACCACCCTAAGAGCCCATTCACACCAGGGCGGTTGCGGATCAGCGTGGTTTCCGCGCTGATTTCAAAAGGGAGGTTTTGGGAGTTTTTAATTGCGTTTCAGAGCTGAAGCACAATTGAAAGCACCCAAAACCGCACTGATCAGCGCAGTTCCATTGAAAGCTGTATGGAAACCGCAGTAATCAGCGCGGCAAAAATAGTGCAGGGAGCAGTTTGGGCGCGGGGCAGTTGCTTGTTACTGTAAAAACAAAACAAAAGACAGCCATCCATTATACTAATCGCAAGCAACCGCTGCATTCCAGCTGTGCTGAAACTACAAATCCCTTAAAGGTGAACTATGGGGTCAGTGTTTTTCCCCATAGTTCTCCTAAGGGTCACAGGAGGAAATAAACTAGCGCCCTCCCGTGACCCAAAGCTCAGTATACCTCGAGCTACAGCTCACTATATACTGAGACACCGCAGACGGGACGGATCCCGACATTACTGTCGAGATCCACCCAGTTGCGTGAGTGACAGCTAGTTCTGCCTATACAGTCAGCGCTGGAGGAGAGGGGAGGGGTTAATCCCTGCGGGGAGCCGTGAGTGACAGTGACCCCTCTCTGCAGGGACATGATCGAGAAGTGAGAGAGCGACGGTATGTGTTCGCTCACTTCCCGATCTATTGAGCCGAAGTGTCACAGTCTCATTGTCACAGGTCGGCTAGAACTATGATGAGTGTAAATCACTCGCCTCATATTTCTCCTTTAATGCCTCTGCTTCTGGGAGTCATGCCTGTAGCTGTCAGTCTTGCAATGCCTCATGGGACTTGTAGTTCCTCAACAGCAAATATATACTGTACATCGATGTATATGTGAACCAGGGGCGTCCTGAGACCGGGTGACACCCCGCCGTGACGTCATCGCTCATGCACGTGGCATCACCATACGCGTGCATGATGACTTCATTGCGCATGCGCGGCCGTCTAATTGATGCCTGCCATTGGCCTTCTTGGTGGTGGATGCCGGCAGAGAGACGAGGGGTCATTCTCCCGGCAGGATGAGGAATGCCGCCGGGTCCCCTCCTCTCTCCTGACACTGTCGGGCTCTCGGTCCATGACCGAGTGCCCGACTTTTTAGAGGGGGTGACACCATAATGACTGCCCATCATTTTGGTGTCACCCTTCCAACGGTGGCACCCGGGTGTGGGCCGCACCCCCCACACCCCACTTGTGACACCACTGATGTGAACTCCCTTCATTGGGAAACCAGTAGCTGATTGAGTTAAGTATGAAGTATACTCCAGTAAATGTCTTAAAGTGAACTGATACTTAAATGATGAACACCATGTAATGTGTCACCTGTTTTTCTGCTAAATGTACCAGTTCTGTTATATATACAGATAGATAGATAGATAGATAGATAGATAGATAGATAGATAGATAGATAGATAGATAGATAGATATGAGATAGATAGATAGATAGATAGATAGATAGATAGATAGATAGATAGATAGATAGATAGATAGATAGATAGATAGAACCAAAGGGCTGAGCTGGTTCTCTTACTAGAGGTCATGTGACCTATAGTACAGGTCACATGACCTGTACTATAGGAGAGGATCACCAGTATGGACTCTAATCTTCCTCTTCATAAATCCGGCCACACATCAGTAGAATTCCATAATAAAAAAATCTATTTTTGGAAGGTTTGTTGGATTTTCTGATAGTTGATGGGAGTCACAACGACAATCAGTTCTGAGCGCAGTGATAAAAACAAACGAAGGATCGGGATGGAAATGTTTTCTTGAATTAATTAAATTGTAACAGCGAATGTTCTAATTCTGGAGACTCCATTAATTCCAACATGGAATAAACGTGGAAGGACATTCGTCAAGTCTCTGGTGACTGATGACGGCTTTAGAGGTCACATGATCAAATGCCTCAGCCTGAGACATGGAATGTTCTGGGGAGATTTTCCATGTGAACTTTCATGCAGAAATCTACCTGTGTATGGCCTGGCTTTAGAGGTCACATGACCAAATGCCTCGGCTTCAGGTTATGTTAGCAGCACGTGAGGGAACCCGGAGCAGCATTTTCTCCAGGATCTCAATAACTCTTGCAGCTCTTCTAATAGCAGACTGCCCCCTGTACAGAGCATTTGCATGTCTGACAATGTTACTGCATCTTTAACTCTCCATGACTGCAACAATGTCACCTAGGTTTACATTAAAGGGTATATGTGAGGGTAGGTTTGAATGACTGAGACTGTAGTGCAGTCACTTAGACCAGCTTTCTCAACTCAGAATCCAGAGAGCTAGTCGGATGACCAGCGAAACGTCTTCAAGAAAGTCCGGATGCCTTGATTTATTTTCATAGATATACCATGACCCGGATGAATGAGAATCCTTCACAGACACAATTTATTAAAAGGTCAGGTGACC